GGGGAGAAGAACCCCAATTTATTCAAAATAACTGCATAAAATCAATCCCCCTTTGAGGCTCTTTGTATGAAAAATTTAGCAAAATGCAGAACTTCTTTCATTATAATATTTTGCTCTACCATTTCAGGTGAGAGGAGAATATTCAAATCCATACTTTTCCCCTCTAAAATCCCTGCCTTAATTTACCAACCTAAACCATCATCTGACCTTTTAGCTAATTTTCTAAAAATAAAATATTTACTTGGAAGAAATTCCCCCACGTGCCTGCCTGCTATAACACTGCATTCGATAACCTCGCCAAAAGACCTGAGGGGAGATGAACATTTTCATGGCGGGATTATCAATCTGCCCACTCAGAAGCCCAGTCTCATCCCCTGCTTGTCTTTAATTTTTAATTTCAGCATTCTCTCCCCAAGGAAAGCTCAGCTGAGAAGTTACACCAAGATTGGGGTAAGAGGACAGCGGAAGGCAGGCAAACCCATGAGGAACTTTTTCGAAGATCAGTTGTTAATACGAGAGTACGTAACGCACCACATTTCCTTAAATTACATTTCTATCATAAAATATTTTCACTGATAGCCCAACCTCAACAAATCACAGTCACGTATGTCCCTAAGCGAAAAAAGAACATCCAGAAGAGGAGTCAGCAGAACAGGGAAGAAACGCTGAAGTTTGGGGGAGGAAATGAGACAGGTCAACAGAAAGGCTGGGTGAGGCTGGACTGACCTACGCTGGCCTGACCTCTGGGTCAACAACTAGTTTAACTCTACCTTGATCTGCAAGACTGGAAGCTTGTCCCTCGGTTCAAAGTGAAACCCAGCATTTGGCTTCATCTGAATGAGCCTCCAAGGCACTGCTAGGGGTGCTTTATCACAGACAAGGCAGGGAGAAATCACAATTGTGCACTTCACCCACCGTCCACCCCCAAGAGGGAACCCGGCCCACCCTGCAGAACCACAATCTAGAAACACTGCTCAGGAGTCATCACAACGAAATACACCGACAGCACTGGGAGGGAGGGAGGGAGGAGCGGGAGAAAGCGAAAGTTTGCAATTTACACTACAGAAAAACCTGTCCCCCCTTCAGCCACCCCCAAGAAATCTTCTTCTAGACAATATCTCTGTCATCACCCGCCTCTTAAATCAAATGTGATCTGTATGTAACACAACTGGTATTACAAATGTATTGAGCAGCTTTCCTTACCTGCCACTACATTTAACTCCTTCAGAACCGTTTCCTCCTCAGCACTGCAACTTTCAATAAAAAAGAAACAACACTTAAACTGTGTTCTGTGCGTTATTCCTGGGAAGAAAGTGACAGAAAGAGACCATTTTACTTTTTAAAACCATTATTTAGAGCTACAATATACCAAAGAATCAGAGCTAACTTGCTCTGATCATAAGGACTGGAGGTCTCAAATATCTGCAAGAGAGCAAGATCAAGACAGTCTGCTACTGAAGCACGAACTGCATTTCCTAAAATATTTTACCCCTAATCGATTTTTTCCTTCTAAATTTACAATATTCATAGCACTTGTATTTTCACTTGTTTATATGGATAATCAGGACTTTATATACATTTCAATGGAAGATTTTCAGTTCGAGATACACGCCAAGGCTGAACTTGGGGTGGGGGGAGAATGCAATCAGAAAGAAAGAAGCTAAACTTAAAAGAATCTGAACACACTAACTTTTTATTCAATTTGATTCAAAATAATGTTAATCTAATAGTGAAATAGTTTGATATAACAGCAATCAACATTTAAAGTATTTTTTTTTTATGTTTCAAAGTATGGCTCAAGGAACCCATTGCTTAAATGCACTTCGACATAACAAGACAATATTTTTTATTGGCATCATTGACACCTGTGAACAATAGCCTAGTAAATAGATTAAGGTTTAACCTTCCTTTTCTTTGGTGGCTGTTTAGAGACTTTAAAAGAACAGATAACTCATTTCAACAGGAATCTACTACTGATATTTACCTCTACATAATCTTTAGCTAAGACGTGGAATGCCAAAAACAAGCTTTTGTTAGCTTGACCTCCTTCACCCCTAACAACAAAAGTTATCCCCGAACCCATGTTTTTATTTTAGATGTATTGATCTTCCAGTGTAAGTCTTGCCCTTTTAAATACCAAATGCAATCAACCTAACTCCTTCTGGAGAGTGAGAAGGAAGCAAAACAGGAAATTTCTTTGAATTGTTTGGTAACTTAAGTTCAAATTTTAAGAGGTCAGTAAATCCTGATGCTTTGAGCTAAATCTACTGGTAAATAATTAATTACATTTCTTAGACACTATCATCTTTGTCCTGGTAAATAGAGAAAACAGTTTTGCCAAATAGGTCATTCTAAGTAATATTAAAGGCTGTTATTTAAATATTACCACAAAACAGGGTTATATTTTGTTTAAATTAGACATTTAACTGAAAATAAAATGCAAATGTCCATAGTTTAAACAGGAAACAATACAAATTAGCTGGCCTAGTCTTGTATCTGAGTTTATTAATACCATTTAAAATATTACAAATAAATCAATTACATTTTCATGCATTTAAAATGCAAGTCTAAAATGTTCCAGAGAAAGGCTTTCATTTCAATGTGAAATATCCAAATTATTTCAACATTACAATGAGCAATTAGTTTGCAGAATTTGCAAACATTTAAATGTAGTGTCAGGAGTGTTTATTAACAGTTAACAATATTACCTTCAGGAAATACACAAAGGCCAAAGTTAGTTGAGTTTCACTTGGACAATTTATTTAATACATGGGTTTTGGCAAACCCAGTTATGAAATATAGGAGAACTCTCACTTTAACTATACCTGAACTGCCAGCAAATGCAAATAAGTACATGCTCCATTAAATTAAATGTCATCCCACATTTATCAAATATTGTCTTAGTTACAGTTTGATACCTATCTTAATTAATATTCGAGCAAAACTAGGCCCCGAAAGTGCGTTTGTGGCTCTGCACCTCCAGAAGTGAGTTCCAAAAACCTGCAGCTCAGCTCATCAGAACTGCAACAATAACTCTTAATATTTTCTTGTAACAAAAAAAAAAAAAAAAAATCAAGTTTACTTCAATATATTTTCAAATATTTACTGGAAGTAATGTACAAGAAAAATACTATACAAAATCGTCTCCTGGACAACTGCACCTCGCACCCACACACTGGTGGAGTTATAGTTAATTGGTAACTAATCTAGAACGATTCTCCAGTTGTACAAACCATTAGGTTCAGATATATTTTACAAAGGTTTCTTCCCCCCTATATTCCCTCTTTTGGCATTTAAACTACAGCCTCGTCTGAAATAAACGATAGCTTCTTCACTTGTTTATAAGTTTAAATCACACAAAAAAAGTTTCACCCTAATAATCTTCAATGAATTGCAAGAATTTACAGATAGGGGTACTATACAAATTGATGTCCTGGACTAGCCAAAAAAAAAAAAAAAAAAAAAGAGATTAGGCTCGGG